CCCCATACTATTCCTTATAACATGTTCAATTTCTCAACGGTTCCTCCCTTAAGTTAACACCGAGTATCACAACGTGTGACGCTTTCATTAATTAATCGTTTGCTTTTATCGAGACGTGAGCTTGGGACGCTTTTGTTCACACGAACTATCGCAAGAAGCCTTGCATCTCTCTGCTGTTTTTCTTTCGATATATTAACGAGTAAAGTTAGAAATTAACTAGGCGCTAATCTTGATTGGTCGATGTGCTCTCGTGGGGAGTCCTAGTTCGCAGTAAATTCAAGCTAAAAATATACTTGTCTGTGAAAACGCCGTGACAAAAATACAGGGCAGTTGAAGGATCCAAGTGATGGACTCCTGGTAAAACCTATGTGGAGCGGTCAACTTGTGTCAAGAGGTCATCCCGCCATTCCTTGTGGGTGACCGCTTATTACAGGTCAAGCTGTAATTGTCTTCATTTCCTGAAATTATAACACATGTTATAGTAATATGGTTTCTGAAAATTGTTTGGCCACATGGAGCATCGTTGGCGAGCTCAAAGCCAAGAGAGTGGTGTTAGAACACCGAGAGGCATTATGGTCTTTCAAAACGATCGATACACCAGTTTTTGTCCGCAGATCCTAAAATAGCCCAACATTCTAATAACCGCCTGCTTAAGACGCCTTACGAGGTCTAATATTCCACTTCAAACGCTCATTTTCAATTAATTATTAACGAAAAAAAAGTAATACATCGGAAGAACACATTATTTGCTTTTGTCAACCTCTTGTCATATGATTGGTTGGCGTACAATAATATAACACCTGGGTCATGTGAAGCTAACGTAGTTATAAATTGATATGAACAGGTCCACCTCACTTTGGAGTTTCAAAATGTTTTATATGTGGCTGAGCTTACTAAATATTCTGTTCGTGTGTAAAGAGTTCCCTCATAAACACACATTATCTTCCTGAAGTCTTCAGTGTGATTCTCGTTGTCGTTCCGCTCATTTTGTCGACCATCTTTTTCACGTTCTTGTTGACTAAACTCGAATCCAGTTTGTCTGCTTCAATGATTAAAAGATCAATGACATCAATGATGTTTCTCAACAACCTTGCTGCTAAACGTGATATCTTTGGAAACTATATTTGTGAGCTTCTTCCTACAGACAGCTTTAGATCAAGTCAACACTTCCATCATTTCAGCGTCATGCAAGGTATGATACCCACTTTGGCTGGTCAAAGAGTTTTAAATAATACGATACTTGCATCAAATTACTTGAAGCGGAATATGTACTTATAAGGAAGGGAGATTCGGCAAAGACAAATCTTTTTACAAAAATGCTAACCGTTATCTGCGCTGGGGTAACATGTTGAACCACACGCGCCGGCACTAATAGTGGCTATCCTAGCAAACTGTCGTTATCATCACCACTTTCCATCCCATAGAAAATTGGCTCGTTGAAATGCCGGGAAATGTTGGTATGTATGGAAAAGGCGATTGACTAGGGGTTTCTACGCACCAAAGGCTGGCAACTTTATCAAGTTGCTGCATATTTCTGGTAAGTTGGGTTGCGCACTTAATGATCGAACTAACTAAGGTTGCAACGCCATCATCGCATCATCTCTCAGATAAAGACGACAAAGTTCTTTACCCAGAAAAATCACCTTGCCCACTGGTGCATGGTGACCGCTGCGGTCAAGAATATCGAGTGTAGTTCTCGAAAGACCTAAAGACCTTCTTATACGGAGACGACAACAACCCTAGACCATCCTGCATGAAAGTCATTTATTTATTCAGCGTATAATATGGAACAACCGAAGGAGGATGGAATCAAAAGCAGACCTAAAATCGTTACTAACCACATGGAAACACTGGGACGAGAATAGTGTGAGAAGTTCGCGCCCTCGAAAAGTTGTCTCTCGATTCCAGTTTCTACCCGGCGTAGTTTTGTGCCTTTTCGCGCGCTCGCTCGACGATAATCTTGGCTATGAGAGGTGAAGTGATTGTATTGTGGAGAGGAATAAACTTTAAAGACGGTAATTAATTCTGATGGTTAAAAGGGCGACAATAAGAAATGAAACGTAGAGGCTGATTTTTTATGCTAGGACAGTTCACAATCTCTTGGAGAGGTACATAAAAACAAATATCGTCGTACTTTTAATCTAAATGGCATGAAGTTGAAGCAAGAACTCTAACAAAAAGCGACCCTTCAATTTTCCTCAAAGTACAAGTCAAGTTTCAGTTGAAGAAACCATTTACTGCAGAAAAACTGAGAAAGGAGTGCTTGTAATTTGAGCTCATTGGCAGTTGGTTTATCCAAGTCGATGTATGCATTTACAATTACAAACACGATTACATTTTGACCAGAACTCAACTATTTATTACCAAAAGAGTTGTTCGTCTTTTTGCATTCACGTCAGGCTCAACCTTTCAGCTAAATGTACCCGACTCGTGCAATATGTTTGGTTGGAGTCTTGGTATGTAGCGCCTGGGACCATGTACAGTCAACGCACGCACGCACTCTCTTTGTGAGCTGCTTCCCACAGATAAATATAACGCTTCTGACAGCTTTAGACCAAGTCAGCACTTCCATCATTACAGCGTCAAGGTAAAGTTCGCACAACATCATGTTAACAAGATATAAATAATTATTTATAGAGCGTTGCCAAACAAGCAAAATAAAATTGAACTACATTTATTATTAAGAGGCCCTATACTGGATTTTGTAAGTTTATCATTCATGAGTAATTAAATTTGCTCGTTTTCAGTTCTGTAAGAAGTTGAAGAATTGCAATTAGTTAACAATTTCAATATTTGGAAAATAAACTTACTTAGAATAGATGTCATTTGTTTTCTACGGGTACCAAAGTACAGGTGTATAACAAAACTTTATACATCTCTTCACAGACTTCTTGTCTATCTAATCCTTGTCAGCATAACAGCAGCTGTCGAGCCTTGTATCACTTGGATGATTTCTGGTGCGAGTGTTTTCTGAACGACTTTGGCAGACATTGCGGTGAGTACACTGAACTTTGCAGGTATAGAAATCAACCTAGAATCCTTCAATCATCGAAATATCCGCTCAAATTTCAAAATTTGCCAAAAGATTCAAGGTATTTTCATATCATTTCTTACAAAGGTTCTAAATTCAGTAGGTTGAATTTGGAGTATTATATTTAGTAATGAATGTTGACACCTGATTCATGTGTTGTTACGCACTGTGTACAGGACTTACAGCAAAAATTACATGCATTTTGAAAAGTTATACTCTTGCTATGGAACAGCAACTTTGACAAAGCGAACACAAATCGAAGCGAACCACCAAAGCACTCAAAATATTACCAGCCATCCTTCTGAAGAGAACTACATCATTGTCAAGGTCGTAACCTGCTTCTAACGTCAGTATTTTCCCCCTCTTTCCAGTTGAAATATCAGGTCTTGTTTGCATGTACGGAAATGGCGATAGACCAGGAGTTTTCTACACACCAATGGACGGTAAAATCTATTCCATCAAGCTGGTGCATATTACTGGTAAGGTGTCGTGCCGTTACCCGACTGAAACTAACTGGGGTTGTGATTATTCCAACAATATCCAAACCATTCTCACAGACAAGGAAAACAAACGTTCTTTTCCCAGAGGATCACATTCCCGGTAGTGGCTACAGTCTTCCTGGATTTGCACAAAATTCCCCTGAACTGGTGTTAACATTTACCACTCCAATGGTGGTGACAGCCGGTCAAGAATATCGAGTGTGGTTCTTGGAAGACCTGATGGCCTCCTCATACGAACACGCTAACAACCCTGAGCCGTCTTGCATGAAAGTTATTCTTTCGTTCAGCCAGTAACTTTGGAACAACTGAAGGAGAACGGAACAAAAATCCATTTTGGCTGTTAGCGACACAAAAGGAATTATTTTGCAATTCAAAATCATCTTTTTACCTATGTTTTAGGGCGTTTTTTGCAGATGTTTCATGTAACACCTTACCACACAGGCTTCCTTTTGAAACCTTTACTAGTACTAGTTTTTTGCCAAAATCGTTACCCTTATGGAGAACAGTTCACGATACAGAAGGTGCTTTTGAATTATCAATTATCCTAACTCAAATCCGAGATTCGCTGACGAAATGAGTCAGGATTTGAAATGTTTTTATACGCGATTACTGCAAATTCGCTGTATAGTTTGTTCGTTATACTCATTGCTTTTAAGAAGATCAGTTCTTCCATAGGCTTTCGTCGAAATTCTTTATGTCGCTTTGATAACTCTATTCACTACGCTAGTCACGTGTTTGGTGTACCCAAGTACGATTCTAGCCATGTAAGGGATCTAAGCGTTTGTGTGCTTCAATGTTTAGAAAATAAACAATTTCTTCAACAAACCTTGCCGCTAGCCCTGACATCAATGGAAATAGATTTTGATTTGCTTCCCAGAGATAGGTACAACACTTCTGACAGCTTCAGACCAAGTCAACACTTCCATCATTAGAGTATCAAGGTACGGCACGTAGTACTACTGGTTAGTCAGAAATACTCCCGCGATTTGTCAATAGCTCTCTCAGTCACACGTTATCATATCTCAGATATGCACCAACACAAACTACTGAACAGAACTTTTTCAATGCTCTATTCATCTTTCATCTTATTAGTCTGCCATCTGTAGAGGACATCGCAACAACGGGAAAGCAGTTCTTATTTTATCCGCACCAGGCTGCTGAAAGATTTTCCAGGCGGCGTTGATAGATTAACCCTCACTTTAGAATCTCAAAAGACAGAGACACTTGAATATGTATTTTTGTTATGGCAGAAATAAACACCCGATGGTTTCTGCTGAGGCACATTGCACTGGAATTCTGGGCAAAGGAAAACTTTTCAAAACAGAATTTCGAAAGAAATATTTTTGACAGCAGGGAGAAAGAAAATACCTGCATTATTTGTTGAGAAAACCGATCATGAACTTCGCCTTTCCTGGTTAAGTGACCCTTAAAACGTATGCTATATAAATTCACCACGACAAGCAGTGTTAATAAATCCAAAACTCAGACAATTTATATATATTCAGATTTAACTTCTCTTTTTTTTCCTTCACTAAGAGAACCCAGTAAAAGATTTATTAAATCAAACATCTTTTCCTGCAAAAATAAATTTATAGTACAATCGTAATAATTATCTAACATGATGCAATGAAACCCTAATGTACAAATTGACAACATGCACGTGCATCATTATAACGAAACAGTTTTAGTATTATTTCTTTCTCTCCTTCTTTTGTTTTAGTTATATACTTTGTAGGTGTCAGTGTCGTCATTCTTGTTGTTGCCATCGTTGACGTTGTCATTGCTGTTTCTGTTGCTGTTGCTTTTGTTGTTGTTTCTTTTACTGTTTATATCTTTTGATATGGAGGTAAACGCTAAAGTAGAATGTCAATACCTATCCCTGGCAAAGTAAAGTTTGCCCATTCCGAACAAGGACCGAACAGGAAAAACAATAATGTCAAGAAGATAAATAGAATAGGTTTTGAAAATTGTAGCAACGACTCATGTTGTCTACTTAAAATCGTGTTTTATAAAAAAAATTGTGATCGGGTATTGCAAAAGCACAATGTCACAAAATCTTCAAACTCCCTCAAATTACAGCCTGGTATTCTCAGAGCACAAGAGGCGGTCTCCACATTGAAATAGATCTCTATATCGTCTCCGTTCTCCGGCACGGGCTTTGACTTTCTTATTCTGTAAATGTTGAGTGTTCCCAACGATAATACTCGTCACCAGTCACTACAGTTCGGAGGACACCACCCAAGTGGAACACTGCTGAAGGGTGGCCAAAGCACGATCTAATTGTGAGCACCCCTGAATGAGACCCATCCTGAAAGCATTTGGGCCAGTTGTGAGAGTTCAAGTATGATTGATGATAATATTACATGTAAAGCCGGCATACTAACGTTCTCAAAACTCATTAACTCTCTTATTCTAATCTCGCATAAGAACGTTTCGACATTGCTGATGATTGCATTTACAAACCGAGTATACGTCCTTGCTCACTACACAGTTCACAATTGCTCAGTGGCACAACATTGGACAGCAAAATCCGAATGTCTTCAGCTCACGACAGAAGCAAAAACAATCTTACCTAAATATTCATGTAGAGTGGAAGGTTACCTTGCGTTTGGATCCCTTGCAAATTTAAACAGGTCCGTCACTGTAACGTTCGTATTCATGGATAATATCTGCAAGAGGTAAAGTTGAATGGTTGTTTCTAAAATGTATCAATCTCACGCGTTACCGAAATACAACAAAAACAACAAATGACTACAAGTTTCTTTAGAGAACATAAAAAGTTTCACCATTTAACACCAGTTTGCCGACAGCATTCGCAAAGCAAACATTTCAACTGTAACAAAATTGCAGTGAGAACAACAAACTGAGTAAGGTACGGGAAACACAGCACCAGTGACATGTCGATGGGGGTTTTTCATCTGTTTTGTTTTTTCGTTTCTGTTTTGCATATGAATGATCGAAAGGGCATGTTGTGTTTTCTCTACCAAACAGAAAGTGAAGTTAAGAACACAACCGATGCATTCCTGGATGACTTTCGACACTCAGTTACAAATTCCCCTAATGACACAAATAACATTTCCACCTCCTAGAAATACAGTTCCCTCACCTCCTGGAAGAATTGCGTAACAGCTTTCAACAAATTTTCGAACATTTGAAAATTCCCCGCCTCGCTTCCTTTAGGTTCTTGAAGAACGCTTTAAGCAATAAAAAGGAAAAAGCTGATGACAAAAATTATCAAAATGTGTCCTGCAGTAAAAAGTAAAGAACTCTTAAGATTGAATATAATTGACTAATGAGAAGTAGTGACCTTCTTTCTCTTCTTACCAGGCCCCTTCCCCCTAAAGAAAATCATCTTGCCATGTCCTTTAAAGTCACTAACTGCACATCATTACGATAACGCATGGAACCCTCGGCGGGCAACGCAAACTACTTCCAGGGAGCGTCTCTACGCAACAGCGAACTAAACTTAGGTAAAACAAGGAGTGGGGGAAGGGTGGGAGGGTGGGAAGGGGGAATACCCTTGGTCTCTTCAAGATCAAGAAACCACCCTGAGGACTAAACTCGAATTCCGATAGCTACTGGTTCGATCACTTACTGAAATCAAGCAAGGAAAAATGGTAACTATCTGTAACCGTGTGAATTTAAATTTTTACCTTTGAATGGCTGCGACAACAAATGCTAAACATGAACAGAGCCGGCTGAGAAACTGAACAGCCTGTTCCCTTGATGGTTTAGCGAGATCCTTCAGAATGTTCTGTGGTATGGGATGAGGAAATCCAACACCGTTAAATATCTGTGCACTGCAATTGAAAACGAAATCAGGTTGGTGTGCGATGGAAGAACGTAACGATTTTAAACACTTCAGTAGAACGCGTTTGTTGCGGAAATCAGCTTTAACTTAGGATAAGAAAAAAGCGAGCTCAAAGACCTGAACTGATTGACTGCGTTCCATATTGTCTCAAAAGTTGATAGGACCAGAGCATGAGGATTGCTGTCAGCCTCTGCTGTGTTAATCTCATGGACACTACTGCTTTCTTCTGAACCCTCTTCAAGTTTCGCCGAGAACTTCTGAAAGATAAACATTTATTAATTATACAACACTAAGAAAAACTTAAATACGAATTACAAAGATCAAAAGCGTTTGTAGTTAAAACGTAGTCAAACAGTTGGCAAAGGAGACATGATATTTTCTAAACTACTATGTCGGTTTTTGTTCGTGGACAGAATGAGGAAAATATTAAAACAAAAGGCCAGTGTCAAGTTGACGTTTTCTTAGTATGTACCATAAAATCAGCTTTCATACACCTTTCAATAGAAGAGAGAATGAAACGAAAATCCGCAAATGGTAGAACACGCCTACTTAAAGGCAATATTTCTGACTCAAGAAGGCGATTCTTTGTCTACACAGTTGTCAGTGCGTATGCACCCCAAAAGACGGCACAGATTGACCCAAGTGCGGGCTCGTATCGCGTATTCTGCATACAAAGAAGTTTGAAGTGCAAATATGATGAGTTACAACAATTTTTCTGCACCGAAGGAAATTAACCAACCTCTTTCTCCGTTTCTTTAGACAAAGATGGAGGGGAATAACCAGTGCCAGGCCCATGCAGGGCTGGGACTCGAGGAGGACCCATAACAACAGAGGCCTGGGCGCCGGTAGACTGTGCTTGATCTGAATGAAATTCTTTGCATCTCTTTTGAAGGACGATAATGGCTGTCACACACTTGGTTATCGCTCCATTGTAACTAAAACAAATCACACATATGAGAAACAAGACTAGACCCAAGAGAAAACAACAGGCTACAAAAGATGTTAATTAAAACTGATACGAGTCGAGGGTAAAGGAAAAAGGAGAATATCACCATCGCAGTGCACAGTGCTAAGTTGAGCAAAGCTTACAGTATAGTCAACGCATTTTTGCAACAAACTTAGTTCAAGAAACGGAAGTAGAAATGACTGTGTCCAGGCTATTCCGTGTGTTGTGTTACTCACGCGCCCTTTTTAATGTGACGTAAAAATATAAAAAATTAGTACAAATGGCGAACACGGAGGTTTTCACGAGAGGTCCAATTAATAAATTATTGCTTGAAACGAGACGAGCTCTCCTAATCAGTCTGGAACATATCGTCCGGTACGAAATCATTACCACACTATTGACACAAGTCTTAAGTTCCATCACAAAGTTAAATTATTGACTAAGTGGTAAATTTTACTGATGATTTACCATGAACGCTGAGCTATACACTCAAAGAGATCGTGCGCCCGGTCCATTACAACAGAGGCATTAGCCAGACAACCAGGGGAACCTAACAACAAGAAATTAAGCACATAAGAACAACTTGACTTTGATGTCTAACTCAGAAACAGTCAGACAATCTATGCTTCTCTTCATTGTTGAACGTAATGTGATTACCTGATACTAGAACCAAAATCGACTAACTCTGAATTTACTGAATTACTGTAATTTATTTATTAGTACGTAGTAATACAGTTTAGTTGAAGCTCTCAGAGCTCTCCCATAATACCGCCATTTATCACCTTTACCTCCACTTCCACTGAAGTGCTTTCGTAGGTTTTCTACTGTCGTCTTGATTTTCCTTTCAAATACTTGACCGAAGACAGCAATCCAGTGTCTATGGAAGATTAAATAACAAACATACCTTAAAAAAAGTGCGCGCCACAGTTATGTTCCTCATGTTTATGCATAACTTTTCACGAAATACAACACGAGAAAAACTCCATGAACGTACTGCGAATCACAAAGATTATGACTTGAGATCCTGATGGTGACAGATACAGGGTATAAAATGCAATTTACACAGGACATCATCTTCAATAGCATGAACAGGGACAGTAAAATAGACATTCTAGAAGCATGAATGCCCACAACCGAGACACACAACAGCCGGAGAGCATCCAAATGAGCCAATTACAGCTGTTGAAGACCAGCCAATCACAGCGGAGCTTGATGCTTTACAAGGTGACGCAAAACGAATCGAAATGTTGTATTCCCCTTCGGAAGTGATTACTTCTCTTCTTTATTGTTGTTTATTTGATTACTTTCCTTACTTGTCTAACAACTGAAGGAGGTCAGCTAAGGTCCATGGTGGTTTTATAAATACAATCTTGTCCCTGAAACCCAAACAATCCATCTGAGTAAATAGAATGAGAGACTTAGTAAATTTTGGGCTCTGTAAAGACCCGAAGGTCTGAGTTTCGATTCCTCATCTGTCTAATTCATCTGAGTATTTGAAAGAATGCTCAGAAACAAGATCTAAGTTAAGCACCATCTTTCATAACTACAGTTGTATCTTCTGACATACCACACGTACAGACAGATTTATCGGAAACTTCTATAAAACCACAAAAACAAAATTGGGAATATTACGCTATAATCAGCGTAATGAGGATCCCTGTAACGCCAGCCTGAACTTTAGGCGCTAAAGTCAAGTTACACTGTACCTCCAGCCCTGATCACACTGTACCTCCATCCCTGATCACACTGTACCTCCATCCCTGATCACACTGTCTTATTTTCTACTTTAACCTCGTACTATTCGTAGTTAAACTAATCAACTCAAGGTAAGCAGCATACCAAAGATCTTCATAAGCTGCTCTCATTTCAGTCTCCACTACGACAGCTAATCCTTCCCTCATAACACACTGAAGCTCGCATACAAGATCATCAGCCTAAATGGAAGTACAATAAAAATAAACATATGTGATTTTGTGAATACAGGTGGAGGCGGCTCACAAACTAAGTGCATCACTTGAGCACAGTTCACCTAATTTTCCGTGGCTTTAGATCAGAGGGACTATTGCTACTCCCCGCTAATGGGATGTTACACTGTCACAGGAGCGTAAGTACGTTTCTACTTGTGCACTTCCTGTGGGAAACAGGGAACAACACCTCATTCCCATTTGGAACGCTAGACCTGAATTTTTTCTTTTGGCGACTAAAAATTCCATGTTTGGCGTCCTTTTCATGATTTTACGTCGCCAAATGCTGACTTAGCGAAAAGGTTAAGCTCGGAAACATACAACATACCTTGGCTCTCATATCTGCCAAAACCTCTTGCCTTTGAAGCTCCTTATAATAGTCTACAAAACAGGAAGTAGAAACAGTGGAAACAGAAATTGAAATTATAATCATGATAGTAATTTGGCTCGACTGTCTTTGGAGTTGATATTGTGAGAAAACATGGTACTGTTCGTAAATTACCAGGTGTTTGCATTTCATAGAGCTTGACATCTGCTGCTTAAATTTACGTCTAAAACTCACCTTGAAAATAACCTTTCTTTAACACTATGGCACTGCTCTGGAATAATTCTTTTAATCCTGTGACAAGACTCTAATGCGAAAACAAATAAATAATGTCAGACTATTGATTTATCCATGTACACTATTGCAATATCAGCAATTCCATTTTTCTTGTTTTACTCAGAAATGATTTCATACTTTAGGTATAAAGCAAAATAATATATTTTTAAATATACAGGTACCTGATGACTGAAAGCTTTTATTCCATTAATTATAGCCTTGCTACATAAGTTTTGATCATTTGAGAACAAAACAGCAAATCCATTTTCCGCTGTAAGAGAAAGAATCCTTATTCATTAAATACAAGTACATGTACGTAGATTGAAGAATATAGATAAACTTTTTTTAAAGTCATGGTAAACGAGTATTCAATTGTTGAAAAAAATTTCATCACACTGTATGTACAACCTTGAGAGAAGTTAAGTATCAAAGATGAGAGGTGAGAGGAAAATAATGAAGAGTGAAAGATTTGCATGCATAACCATGCTCTGCTCATTCCAAAAGACACAGAAGGAAATAACTGGGAGAGAGAATTAAAAAATCAAATGATACTGAAATTTGACTGGCAATGTAAGTATTTTTTTTCATATTTTATTAACTGTAAACAAAATGCAGACAAAAGTCACAGTGATAGGGCACAAAAATACAATGCTACATAATCTATGTCCAATCAGAGAAAGAAATTGGTCTACAGAAAGTACATGCCTGAAGTCTCTCCAGAGAGCCTGTCAAGTAAACTTTCATGTTCAGCTAAAAACAAAGTATTTTTTTCTTTTTTTTTATCTGATAATTTTGTTCAAGCCATAATTATTCAAGATACATTTGCAAAACTGTTAATTTTTTGGGTGTTTCTCATTGTGAAGATCTCTCTTTTTACTGACACATACCCTTTCGTTGAAATAATAAACAGCACTGCAGTATTTTGTCATCATTATTAGGATTTTCAATGGCACAGTTCTCCATCATTTCCCGAGCCTGGACAACAAAAATGAATGAGATTTATGCAAAGAAACATAAATTGTTGAGAAAAGTAACAAAAACTATTATGAACACTAGTTGTAGATATCTGTGAAGTATAAAATGACAGAGGCACTGTTCCTATTATAGAGGTTAAGGGAACAAATCACACCATTCTAAGCATTCAAACAAATCTCCACCCTGATATAATTATGGTGCTTTTTGCTTGATTGTGTCATGAAAATTGAAGCCAGTTGTTAACAAGCCTATTAACAGATGAAACAGAAAGGAAAACCATCAAAATCAATGCAACTTCATTGAAAACAAATTTTCCAAATTCTTGTCAAGCGCAGAGCAATTAGTTCATATGAGAAGGTACAATTGTAAAGATACACTGTACTCATGCAGCACTGGTTACCCTGATTGTACTAACCTCAGACACTGTCTGCCCTCGAACTCGTGCATGATTAGACTCAAAACAAAGGTGAAGAAATTTGACAGCCTGCCTTGCAAGGATATCAACACCTAACTTGCCATTCTAAAACAACAAAGAAAGTATTCCATTTAATAATAAATGATGCATTTCTACAGTGTATGAAAATTAAAGGCCCATACAGACTAAGGCAAATCTCTAACATTGTGCAATATTTTTACTCTAGGTCCATGGTTCCCAAGGCGACATTGAAATTTCCAACTTTACTTTCATTCACTACAAACCAAACATTTGGTTTCTGCTATTCTGGAGCTCAGTAAGTGTGATGCTTTTAACAAGGTTTGCATCCAGCACAATATTTAGTCCAACTGTATGTGTATTTGAATGATTGAGGAACACACTTTGTATAAAACTTAGCATACACTGTAAAACTGAAGAGTTGGTACAGAACTTCAAATTAAAGTTACTTTAAATAATTTCAAACCTGATTTGTCTCAGTCATTAGCTTTCCTCTCTTTACCCTCCATGAATCACTCTGAAAACAAAATAAGAAAAAATGTACTTTCAAAATGCTATGGTCTAAGGCTAAGAATGTTTGAATTGAAACTTGTTTAAACATATATGTACCTCAAACCAAAAAAGGCATTTGGAAACTTTATTGAAATTGTATCACTGCTTAAAAATTTTTGTTGACCACATGTAAGTGCATGTGCCATGTTGTCTCACTATCGAAAGAGTCGCAATGTGAAGAAAAAAATATAAAAAAAGAGCATTGAGAGATAGCAAGCATACCTTAAGTGAATCTAGTTCCTGAATGACTATCCATGGCACCACAAGAACTGGTCTGGCCACACCTACAGGTCAGTGTACAAAGAAATAGAGAATACATAGCTAAAGCAAGGAACTATAAAGTCATTACAAGAAACATGTCAACCCAAAATGCTGTTACTAACAAAAACACACCGAACATTATAAAAAGTTTGAATCAGTAGCTTCCTCACTCAGAGATAAGTGGAGTGTAAATGTTGAAAAATTCACTCAAAATTTATCCACCTTTTGGAATTAAGAGCACACAATAACCACCAAAATAAACTCCCCGAGGCGGCTCAAGTAAATTATTTGGCTTTTAGACAATGTAGGTTTTTGTAAGGGGGGGGGGGGGGGGGGGGGGGGGAGAGTGTAGGCAAGGCTAGGGAGCTCATTACAGAAGGAGATCTTAGATGGGGTGCCTGTCATGATATTTTTTTACCAATTGGCAGTAATGTCAGAATCTGATTTGCTGAGTTGCTCTTAACAGTAAAAGCACAGACAATGCTGCTCATGTCAACATATCACACATCAATCATGCAGTTAAAGAATCACTCAATATGACCTCAATATTGTGGTAAAAAAAAAAACAAATTGACAGTGATTTAGCATGGTCTGTACTCTTATCAACAACAACATTCACAGTAGTCAAAATGTTGCAGAGTCACAAGGTGCAGCCGACTGACTTCACAACATTTTGATTAATGTGATGACCAATATTGTTGTCAGTACAGTCAAGTAAATATCAAAACCACTGTCCATTTGTTAAATAAAAAAGGTGTAGGTAAAGAGGATGACAGAAGTTAAGGAAGGATTTGTTTGACACTAAAACTGACAGAGGTAAATATAACTGTTGTATTGGGAAGTAATAACACTAAAACCAAAGGCATACTTACCTTCAATGGGAAAGTCTTTTAATTCGGAAATGAGTTTCAGATGTGAGAGAAGGACATTTGTATCCAAAATTATATACAAAGTGTCCTGAAATAGATGGTCACAAATTAAGTTTTGCTACGTCTTGCACACCACAAGCTAGTGTTTTTCTTATAACTATGTCCAAGGACATCTAAAAACTAGCAAATTCTTCTTTGTAAAAATGATATTAGTTTCTATTGCACTTAGGTTCTGCAAAAAAACAAGGGAAACAGAAAATCACCTTGTATGAAACTTTTGAGGGCCTGGATGTTTCAGCTTCAACCTACAATAAATGAACAACAGAATGCTAAGATAAGTAAACTCACTGAAGTGTCCATGTTTTGGGTGTGTTATCTATCATATAAAATTAGAAATGGAAGACATTTGTATATCACTCCCCACAGACAAACATAAGCAGTACAGGCTATTATCAGCAACCAATTCTTCTATTAATTGAAAAAGTTCCTTCCAGTATGACTCACACTAAAGGACTTTAAAAGTCAATGTGCACATTTCCACTCACCATCAGTGGATCAAGTACAAATTCAGATCTGATCCCTTGAAGCTTTAAGAGAAAAGAAAAAAAACAGCAAAAGACTTTTTTTTCCATTTTTTTGTGTTTTAATTCTGTGTATGCATGTGGGCAGTTAAAAATTGTTGGCTCTCAAAATGTTCAACACTGAGAGTGAATTGTAAACTCAGATTTAGCAGACCCAGCAGTAAACAATGATGAACATTTTACAATTAGCAATTTAGGTACATAAATGAAAGTGTGTTTGGCAGCAGTGGATCTCTAAAACAAGTCTGTAATGTACTGTGAATGTTTCCACAAGATATTCTCACCCTTCTTGTAAAGTGTCTTCAGAGGTAATTACCCATCCCACTCTTTTATAAATTATTTGAACCCTTCAAAGTACAGAAAAGGGATATATAATACTAAAGTACCTGCTTTTAAACAACTGTGAATATATGAAAGTCATATATTTGAACTGCAGATAAAGACATGAATATGAAAGCGATCTTTGCAGTGATAAACACTACTTGAGCAGTAGTGAAAACAAGGCCTGAAAAAGTTCAGGCCTGTATGGGATTTGAACCTATGACCTCTGCGATACCAGTGCAGTGCTCTACCAACTCAGCTAACAGGCTAACTAGGAGCTGCTCATTATGTAGGTTCCAAATAAACCCATGAAGTGGTGAATACACAAATATATATTCACAGTCATTTATTCACCACTTTAGGGATTTATTTGGAACCAACATAATGCAAAGATTGCTTTCATATTTATGACTATTGCTATTAGCAACATTTTTAACAGCTAGAAGATGAGTGAAAAGCAATATTTGACAAACACTGATTTCTCCATGACTGATTACAAAATAACCCATGCTATCTGAGTTAATCCTTTACAACCTCACATCAACATGCAAGTTCTCCCTAATGTTCTCTTCACGTTTCCTAAGGTTTTGACAAGAAGAGAGTGTCTTACAATCAAAAGATTCTAGAGTATAAACAATTTCCTTTATTCTCATGACCATAATGTTTGATTAAGGAGTTATACTGCTGGGAGAAATTAGATGCTCATCACTCTAGGGGTTGAAGGGTTAAGCCAAAGAATTCTGCATAGCAGCACAGGAATTCTCCAATCTCCAATGCCTACAAAACAAGTTGTATAACACATTAAATACCTCTGCTCTAATCTGATCTTTGAGTTCTTCATAGTTATCAATCTCCATTGCATCATCATTACTATCAAACTGTTGTGGCTTACTAGTCTCTGCTTCATAACCAACATTTCCATAGCTGTTGAAGGACATTTGACTGTCAAGTTGCATTTCTTCCTCACTTTGTGTTTGATAAGCTACATGGCTGCCTGGTAACTTCTGACATGAGTCTGTTTTGTCAGAATTTGTTCCAAGGACAGTGGGATGACGAGATAATGGACTGAATGGTGTATGAACAGCACTAAAACTAGCTGGTGATTGAGTGCCTTGCTTAGAATTCCTTGAAATTCCATTATGTAGTCGTACATTATTTCCACTAGGAATATATCCTTTTTTGTACGGATGCCACATAGACCTGGAGTCAAGTCTGGTGCTGTTGTTGATTTTGTCATTGTTAGCATTGTTCTTTTTCAGGAGTTTACCTGTTGCATTTCCTGAAAAATTTTGCTCATTTGTTGGTCTTCTGTAAAACTTTTTTAACGGAAAGTCGCCAACACTAACTTCGTCACTTTCAGCATAGCCACTTTGCAAACATGGTACACTAACACAGCTGCCCTGTTCACTGGGTGTATAAGTTGTATCTACAGAATTCACCCATGCACTAATGCGACAAGCTTTAGAATTACTGCATATCTGTTCCTGACAGGTGGAATTCAACACGGCTTCCGTCATCTTACTAATAGGTATCTCATTATCTTGGCCAGAGTCTCCTGTTGGTGAAGATAGTTTCTCAGAAACTGAATGCCCTGGGTCGGGTATCTTGTGCTTCTTGGATTTTTTATTTTTCTTTCTTGCACTAGATCCATCACTCCCAAACTCTTTCTTCGATACACTTCCTTTGCTCTGTTGGAGAACAAAGAAGACAGCTGAACTTTCATTACGGCAATGAATGTACTGCCATGTTTTGATTTTGCACATGGGGCATTTATTAACTTGTGGTACCTTTTGAGAGGGTGCTTATTCAAGACATGGTGCATATTGAGGACATGGAACTTTTTTTTTTTTGAGAATCAGCAGAATGTGTAAAACAAAGCTTTGATGTTCACTTAAAAGAGAAAATAGTAAAAATAACAAGCATACAGCAAATATTTGGGGAATGCGTAATAATACTCTAGCAATGCTATCACTGAAACAGAATAGGGCAATTATTGTAATAGGGAAGCAATTGGAATGAGGGTGATCATGAAATATAGGTGAACATTAGAATAGGAGTAGTTACTAATAAATACAAATTCCAGGAGGTCCTTGCTAGAGAGGGGCACTTACTGGAACAAGGACACTAAATCAAATAATTAGGGTAATTAAGGATTGCAAGGGTTTTGCTTTTCTTCACTTACTAATTTGCCACAAAAAAATTGGCACAGCCTTCTGAATCAATCAGATACAAATCTTAAACCAATCATTTGAATCTACAGTACATGTAGCTAGGCAACCTGGCTGCTTAGAGGTGTCTTAACAAAGTCTCATACCTCTTTTTCCCAATTAGAGCCAAGCAAAAGGGCATTCAAGAACCAATTTTTTTCTTCCATTTTTTGCAACCACCAAAGAAAAAGCTGCATGAAGACCACATTTTGTTATTACTATTATTGGGTTGAATTCTAAGATGTCTGGGCAGTCAGGTTGCCAAAGGATTTCCAAAATGTTGGCATTCATAGTCAATTGGTATCTCAAAACATGGAAAGAGGCAAATTTTCATCATATGTTAATTTAAATAATAGAAACAAAAATTATATGATTTTACGAGCATAAGCTTCCTTCAAATCTGAAAATTGTAATTGAGTCATTTCATTAAAGTTCAGTTAAAATTACAAGAATGACTTGTGCTCTTTACATGTAAAGTACAGATTGAGTATAACACTTACATGAACAGATGAGTCATCATGGCTTAGTGGAGTATCAAGAGGATGCTTCCAGCTTGATTCCCTTGTGATAGTGTTAAAATAATAATGCTTGTCCCTTCTTGATTTGGACTGTCGACATATCCAGCCTGTTGGAAGCGGTCTGTCATCGACGTCAGCACAGTTCATACTGACTAGGCATCTTCTTTGAGATGACAAATATCTGTGCAGATCAATGAAAAAAAATTGTTCAGATTGAATTAGAATGGAGAGCAGTATACCAATAAACCTTTGTAAATTACATTAGAAAAACTCTTATCACAGCTATCTGTCAACAATGCAAGACTTAATTGCACAACACTAGGACTTGTTTTAGCCAAAGGTTCAATGCAGATCAACTCCACAGCATGGACAATCAATGTTTTTCATTTATCATTTACAGAAATTGAGATTCATGGAAAATGTTGACCATGTCGTGGTCAAAATGTAGCCAATATACAGATGCAGAAGTCTTTGAACACATTTAATTTACGGGTAGTAGTTCTCCAACTGTCATGGTATCAGATCAACTTATAATTGGAGCAACTTCAGAATACCCCGCAACTCATTAACATGTCATTGAATAAGAATAGCGTCTATTGTGTTATGCCTTGATCTTCAAAGCCTCCCGACACATGTAAGTGAGGCAGACCAAAGTTGCGGGGTGTTCTGAAGTTTAGCCTTATAATTGATATTTCTCTCTTCTCATCACTTGTCTGCTTAATATTATGATGATTATCCCTCTCCACACCACCAAAAACAAATTACAATGCACACTAAATTGTCTGCACTGAAGGAGCAAGGAGGTCTTGCAAATACAATAAGAGTTTCTAAATAAGAGAGGTCTGTCACACATCATTCTATCTGCATTCCGAGCTTAAGTGCTTTAATTTGCATCTGACTTTTGCTGATATGTATATCTGATGGTTGATCAGTTCACTAATCTGAAATATGAAATGCTGGCATGCATGGAGATATACCTAAAAAATATTTCATAGCAAGTTCAGGTTTGAGTAAAGAGGACGATAACATCTACTGACAGAAATCACACTAATTTATATTTTCTCACATAGGTCCGGACAATCACTTTCTCGTTGGAAATGGAAGACTTGTCACTAGATTTGTGTATGTATTTAAAAAAAAATGGATTACGATGGAAAACACACATACTCATTTACTTATGAAAATAACAGGAACATTTCAGGTTCAACGTTTCGTTTCACCACCACTCACCAAATTATTTGACGTCGATAGGCTATGCGGGCGCCTACCCTTCCTTGCAAATGCTTATCATTTAAGAGGTTGCTCCATGTATAGATGGAATGAGATGCAATTTAAACGTGCAATTAAATATTTCCCTCACCTGACATGCTACGTCAATCGCTCATTCGGGAGGAATTCCCAGACCACTTCACCATCCACACCAAAACACAGAACGTCCATGTGCATACATGGTAACCGCGCCAGAAGATCACAGGGGGCGCTGACGTAATGGCGCTGACCGAATAATTTCCTTTGCAAAAGTAGTTGATAGCGGCGGCCAAGGATTTTAGGAGGCACAGGATCGAACCCAATTAAAGCCTGAGCAACTTCAGATTTCCTTTTTGGTTATTTTTTTTTAATGGCGGTTTACCGATGAAGATAACTCCGTGATATGTTATCTATACCTGGTCATGCAATTGCTTGTTTTTGGTGTTTTAACACTTCTAAAGACCTTTAGGTAACTTAAATTCTTCAAGCTATCTGCACATATGCCGTCCCTAAATTTTAGTTGACTTTGAAAAGTGCCTAGCCTGTCAGCGGTCAGTTGGCATAGGTCGTACCCAGTCCATGCTGAAAATCGAAACAAAAGGGAGTGGTGTGATCACAAAGAACCTCTTCCTCATTGGGCTTCAGCAGTCAAGTAAATTTTTTTGGTGCAACTATCTTCTGCTGCAGCGGAGAGAGTATTCTCGATACTTGGAGTCATCGTTCAACTAGCAGCAGGAATGTGCCCTAGTTGACAACTTGCAAGCAATTGCAAGTGAGATGTCGCATTGCAACAAGCGATGAACGTTTTGAAGATCTCATGACACGTACAGAGCATTCTTCAAAGGACAAGTTCATAAACAGGTAAAATTGTGTAATACTTGACACATTTCAGAAACCCAAACAAGCGCCGTTGTAGAGGTGTAAAAAGAAATAGAAAAATGTTTTTCTCTATATTCAGTTTACGAAAAACAACCTGATGCCTTATTTTGTACTGAGGTATTTTTTCTTCACGATCAACAAAGGATTTTTCAAACCAATGGAGCACGATTTTGAAAAATGAGCATAATTCAAATATTTTTTGACAAAAACGAGCATTGCCAAGAGTATACAATTCCAGTTTTACAGCCAGGTTCTGATCACGTACAAAACCTTGATATTAATTGCATCAATAAATATATCCTGCTCGGGCACAGTCTTGACATCCCATAAAAATTGTTTTGCGAGCGGGTTTCATTTTAAGAATCATGCAGGGTCAAATGATTACTAATCAGCCAATCACAATCGTCTTTAGAGCAAGGGAAACCGCGGGTGTAGAACAACTACCGCTATAACATGGCGACACAAATAATACATCAGTAGGTTGGTTTTAACTCTGGTTTTAGTTAAAATCTACGAGGGCCAGAAATTCCTTCATTTCCCTTGCAATTTGGAGTGCACTTTTTCAAGAGTGAACAGGTATTTTTAGAGAAACCTCAAGAAGGAAGCATGTGGATCAGGGGAAATAAAAAAAATTATCAGACAAGAGTTAGAGGAAAGTGAGCATGCCCGTCAGATGAAGATCTTCAACTGAGCCATCGAACCCAAAGAGTATTCGTGCAGACTCTACAAAGCAGTCATTGGAACCCTGCCATTGCCAAATGCCGCATAATTTGAAATTTGCAAGCAAACATTTCAAGAGTTCAAAATGTAAATGCTTCCCGATACACGCGCATGCGATAAACAACAAACCAATATAGAATCTTTTCTTTCTTTATTCCTTTTCCTATTCCTTGGGGTGTTATTATATCGAAGCGGTCAACCGAAATCATTACGTGAAGAAATTACCTAAGTATTGTGATCATAGCTTAAGAATAATTTCGATTTAGGAAACGAGCACGTGGCAATTAAAAGAACCAAAAGAAAGGTAAAAAACGAGCGATTAGTTTCGCTTTGAGTAACAACTACGAGCTCGGTAACATAATCACAAAACAGGTTATTGCTTATCAACGTTCGCGGGTCTTGATTACTCTATCGAGGATTACAGTCTAACTTGTATGCTATTCAAAAACGACCTTAATCACACGGTGTCTTATCCTGAACTGAAATGCTAACTACAATTTTCTGTCGAAAAGGAACTAATCATGGAGGTGTCAATCTAACCAGAAAATATTTCGCAGCTTTTCTCGGAAGCGGTAACATTTAGCTTCAACGAAAGCAGTTACACAAAGAAGGCCAGCAGGGTAATGCAGAATCAATAAAATTTGATTTGGTGCTCTTAATCCACAGCATCTACTACGTTGATTTCGAAGAAGCTTTAGTTCACTGTTTTAAGAAAGAATTACACGACAATGGAATCTTCGTCTGTATCCTGCCAGGGCATTATCTCATGTACTCGATTAATCTAAAGCAGAACTGTCAGTGGCATGGAAAGCAAAACAAGAGAGGAATATACGACACAGCCGAGAAAATCACCAGCGCTGCGTACGAAAACGGCTGCAAGTATGATTTACACACGCAAGAATATCCTATCGCAGTCACTGAAGTATTTGATGAGAAATCAACCGATGGGAATCTGCTTCTTGATTTCTTGACGCGCACTAGCCTACGTGTAGCCGTACCCTCCCCCGATGGTGAAACGGAAGCGAGGGAACTAATTAAAAGTCTTTATATATTTTCTTGCAAAAGAGTGACGTCACGGAACACGATTAGTGACAGGTTTGCGTAGACTTTGCCTCGCCTCCGTTTCACCTTGGCGGGGGTAAGGGTACGGCTACAAGTAGTTTAGACGCATACTGGTAATTTTCGCGAGACGGCAGACAGACAGCTTGTGAAGGAAACCCTGGAATTGATTGAAGATCTTACCACTATCGATAATGGGAGACGTCTCGACCAGCCTAGGTGAAATGTGCTCTTCATTCGAAAGGCACATTTCACCTAGGCTGGTCGTTAGGAATGACACAAGTGCCTCACCACTATTTTGAGAAGATCAAAATTTCACTTTTCACATTACATTAATACAGGATATGCTAGTTCTATACACTATGCACTACAATGAAATATTTTTCTGCTTACATATTCAACTTTATTGCACATAGTTCTAGATCAAAAATTTACGAAAACAAACTTATGTATAACTGTACCAATTTAAAACAATTGATACATTCTTAATTTACATTCTTCTTCTGGCTTACTGCCTTGATATAAATAAAAAATAAACCTTCTGTAGCTCAGGTAAAAGAAGGAAATGAAATGAGTGAAATACAAAACATTTCAGTATTCAGTTTGTGGCAAAGCAGAAGATACAAAGAAAATACACTGAGCATCATTGCTCCTGTCCCTCCTCTAACATCAGCCAGTAAATGCTTAATCCACATAGGGGAATAAATCAATCAAACACATACTTATGGTTAAAATGGTATTGTTCAAATTTCATGTTTGATAGAATTTACAGTAAGTAGTGGTCTTCTCCTGAATGAGTCCAGTTCTCATGGTTCTGAATTAAACCAAATGCCCAGAAATTTCAAATGGTATTGAATTACCAGACTGAGTCCAAAAATTTACAATGAAGTTTGGCCAATGTAAAATCACAGTAGATTCAACATAAGGTATATTCACTCAATTTATAGCCTACAGAACTGACTTAATTTTTAACGTTTTTCAGTGGAACAGGAGCAAGCACAAGGCAAGCGCAAAGTGCAAGTCACATGCAAGGGGAAGGTTGCAAAATAAAATAACACCTGCACTCACAGTATTGTTCAAGTTTTGATCACATGATATCAAGTAACCAATTGGGTAGCTGTGTTCATATATTAATGAAGGAACAGCTTGAACAACAGTGCGGGTGCAGGTGTAATTTTTTTCACCTTCCTCCCCTCTCACTTGACTCTTTTTGTCCTCCCCACTCATGCCTGACTAGCACTTTGCCCTCACCTCACATTTTCCTCTGATCAACTGACTCTCAAAACCTCAGCTTTTGAACTCTTTACAGCCACCAATTTACATTATCAACTCAGTAGATAATACTAAATTACCATTATACTCTTCCACCCACAAAGCACCACAGATTCTTTAGAAACTTACCCCATTTGCACAATAATCTGATTTCAAACATGTTTCACAAGTTCCAAGTGCTGTTATTAATTGAACATCAAAATAGCCTGCCAAAAAGCTAACTCCTTTTTCTTAAAAATTAAGCAAATGTAGTAACCTCTCATATTGAGAACTTTTTTTATCAAACTGTCACCAAAGGGTTATTTACTTTCATTAGTGTTGATGAAGTGAAAAGGCCAAAGCAGAAAGCAATATTGAAAGACCCAGTGAAAAATGAACACATTTTCATCACCACAGCAAGGATAAACAAATTAACTTTTAAACACAGGTCTGAGAAATTTTACTATTTCATTAATATATCTCAATAATATTGATATGTATAGCATCTCTTTAAAGCATAAAACTGTACACCAATTTTTAATAATAAAACTATTTAACCTAACATTCAAATAGATTTGACTGTGTTGGACAATTAAAGTGTTGTGGCAAGCAGAGAATCTAATTGTCTCTTTGCTTATTTTGGTTACGTCTAAATTCTGCTCGCCAAAATGCCATGAATATCTGAATATTAAGCCCTGAGATAATAGCCATACCAGTAGCAGAAAATAAGAAATGTAAAAATGGCAAGTCATTGCGATGCTGTATGACAAAATTTGTCATCCATGCAGAGGTAAGAAATCGGAAGCACACAAATGTCATCAACACTACTATACGTACTACTCGGTACAACATACAAGTTTTGCTCACTCCATGAAAATTCAATAATTGTCTTAAATGTAAGAAGACACTGTTGACTTCCATTAAAAGAGAACAAACTGCAAAGGCGATGTACATTTTGCTGAAAACTGCTATTGAAAAGGCCATACATACCTGTAATAAAAGTAGTAGTATTTAAGATAATTATATAATTTAAAGAACAATGAAAAGTTACATGCACAACAATAAATCTCTCCCAAAAATGTGAACACCTCACTTATTTAATACCCAACCCACATGTGATTCTCAAGATTCAGAATCAAACAGATACTGCAGCAGGCCACAGTAATTACAGCAGTTGCGTTTGTAATACTCTATTAAAACTCAATTTAATATGAATGAAAACACAAATCTATCTTACCAATACATGGTGTATCAGGAGACTCATGGAATTACTGGCATCGTACATCAGCATATCAAAGAAATCATGGATAAAATAACCTGTAACACAGATGAATCTCATATAAGTCACCATCCAGGGTTACAAACAAAAAGTATGGAGTACAAGGATAATCATATGCAATACTATTAATGGTATGTTACATTTTTACCCTTGAACTCCCACAAGTGACTGAGAGAGAATTTCTCCTTACAGAAGACAAGTGTTGGGAATAAAGAAATTTATCTATCAGGCCCCAGTAGTTCAAAGCATCAATAAAGCTAACCACTGGATAAATCTCTGTCCCATCGATAGCATAGTAAGTTTTCTAAACTCTTATCCGCTGGATAGCAATTTATCTGTTGGATAGTGCTATCCAGCCTTTATACAACTGGACCCAGAAGATTATTAATTGATGCAATACAAAATTCTTTGAAGCAGCATTTTATGAATGGGCAGACTGTAAAGATAATTACAGTGAGATCTTGGGAGTGAAAGAGTCAAATGAACTATTAGCTCATATTGATGATGGGAAGTTTATATCAGGACTGCTCGCACTTAACCTGAGAGGAATAACAGGACTTCTAAATTCAAAGGCAGCTAAAATTCTTGAAGTAGTTCAAAACTCAAAATCAGAGGTCACATAAAAAATAAATGAAATCACCTGTCAGCAAGTCAAATTGCACACTGAGCCAGTACAAAAATTTGACACCAAATTTAAGACAGAATGGCAGGACCTGCTTATTATGAAAGTTGAAGTTGCAAAGCAAGAAAATTAAAATGATCATGGTCAGACTTTGTAGAATTGATTTCTTTGTTACCAGTTTAATTTCTTATGATACTTTGATATCTTAGGTGGGCAGAAGGGAAGGGGGGGTCTTCAAGGAAAGGGGGTCCCTACAAACATTGCAAATGTGGAAGATGTGATGAAAAGAAAAGATTAAGAGGTATGTATGGTTCAGATCAATATTCATCCAAAGAATTAGGATATCACATTTTCAGAGGGGAAGTTTAGACTTGACAAAATATAGAAACACAATAAAATGGAAACACTCTATGTGATACCAAATCATACTGTTTTGATCCTGACAAGGCAAGACAATTACCCCTGGGGGCTTGAGAAAGATAGGGGGCTAATGTTATTATGGCATTAAGAGCTGTCATGTGAGTTATCACTTTTCATCTGATTACTTCTGGATACAATAATCAGTGTACATTTCTTAACAATCTTCAAAGTGGAAAATAAAAAAATTTTGGCTTTCGGGTTCGTATATGTCGCTATCTAATTCCAATGGAAAACATCATTATGGTATAACTAGTTGTATTTGGCCGAATACATTAATTTTTGGAGTTTTTTGTATATTAGAACGTTAACAGTATAACAGGGGCTATCTAGATTCGATCATCCCTAAGGAACTAGTACAAGAGTTGGCAAATGCTTACGATCTAAGATAAAAGTCTTACATTAGTACATGATGTTGATCTCATGTAAATTATGCAATTTGTTAATTTGAGAGGTGTTGAGGATCGTTGAATCTCGATACATTTGACTTGACCCTTAGCTTGTGTGTGCAGATTTCATTACTTAACTATCTCACCCATGTAAGACATACCGGTGCAGAAGGTTACAAGGTAAAAGGCTGTATTACTCCATGCCGTGAGCATTTTTGTTAACATCACTGGTTCGTCAAAAAAGCTGCAAAGATCACGAACGAAGAGCAATGAATTTCGCCATTGAACAAGGTTGGCATGACATTCTGACATTTTTAGTGGTAAAAGAATTCGAGTGAATGGGTTATGAACTCACCAGTAGACTGATAAGATAGCTGAAATAAAGGAATGTACAAATGACACAGAGATATTTTGATACAACCATGTTTTCCTCGGAGGTGACGATTTCAGTCCAGATGGTGTGGGCGCATAATTTTTCAGAGCATACTGCAATGCTCGAAAACATACAAAAAATCCGAGTATTTCATAGGAGCCACGAGGGAGATTCAGAATGTTTAACATGATGTGAACTCTCTTCAACACTTCACAGGTAGATGAAGAGTGTCTTGTTGAAGGGAGTATCCTTATGATTATGCAACAATAGAATGCGTGACTAAAGTACATGACATTTACAATGGCTTTGAGATCATGACGTCACACACAGCCCATATGTCACCATTGGTCAAGTTGAATGGCATGATTTCTTGGAATCACGCTCGGGAGAACAAAGTAGGTGTGTGTACTCGTTTTTTGGCCCTTACGTTCAAAGAAGAATCACAATGACATGACATTTTTTGGAGTAACAGGGTTTCGGGTGAATCTTTTTCAGAACAACTTGGCCATTAGCATGAAAATCAGCCGTCAGGCCCGTCACGGTTCAACAATGATGCTTGGAGCATCACGCATCAGTCACCTGGTTAACACCGGGCAACGGATAGTTCGAAACAAATTCGGGTTAGACGATTTCAAACTCGTTCCCATGATCTTCTCTTCCTCTTAATGTGGAATTGCTGCTTAACTTTGAATTCAATATGACGCTACACAGTCATCTGATAATAGCGACTATAACATAAAAGAGAGGTCAAGCGAAAACAACGGAAACTGGTTATATTGGCATTTTCTAGGAAACAAAGGAAGAGTAAACCCAAGTACTGGAGGACGAAAACGTACTCACCGAACGCGTAACTAGTTGCAATATCATTTGTCTCTTGTATTGAATACTCTCAATAAACCAGCAGATAATTACCGTATTTACTCGAATAAACACCGCAGCTGGAAGCCAAATGATGAACACCGCCTTCCTATGCCACAACCTATTAGGATAATAAGGGATTTATTCCATCAGGATTATTAGGGAATTATTAAATTAAAACAAAAAGTGCTTTGCGACTCGACCATGTACGCCATCCTTGGAAATTAACACATACAAAAAACGAGACATAAGAACTTAGGACAAGTTTCTGTACCACACTACGAATTGAATGATTGTTGTAGATAGATAGATAGATAGATAGATAGATAGATAGATAGATAGATAGATAGA